GCAGCGCGTCCCAAGGAGCAACGTTCGCACTTGTAGAAGTCGCTGAAGACAGTGGTCTTGTTGCTCACGAAGCGCTTCACATCCTTGATGATGGCACGACATAGAGCCTCAGGGTAGATGGCGGCAAGAGTTGTGCGGCAAGCTCCTTGATATTGTCCTTGAAGCCATCCATGTCTCTTGCCCATGTGTCCCTTGCATCTTCTGAGGCTGTGACGTAGAGCGAGGCTGCTCTGCAATCCAGTTGGTTTCAGAATTGGGTTTTGTACTTCGTCACAAGCTCCAAAGCGGCATTGGTCTGTGCGTTGGATGTCGCCTGGGTTGTCTTCCAAGTGAGGCCACATTGCAGAAGACCATGGTTGTTCCCAGACATAACCTCGATGGTTGCGACATTGTTTCTTGGCCTTGGACTTGAGGTACTCGATCGTGGGCATCTCTTCATCACGTTCACGTTGGGTTTGTTCCAAGTCCCTTCGTGTAGATGCGATTGACCACGGTCGACAGGCTGGACTCATGTACTCCACATCAGGGGCAAGGTTGCTCTCGATCTCGTCAATCAACTTGCGATGTGAGGAGCATCCAAGATCCCAGCCGTACCGGTAGTCCAGGGGAAACATCACCATCAAGCCAGCGCACACGGCCAGAAAGGAAAGTCTTCCAGAGCCACTGCAAAACTCCCAAAGATGGAAGTGAGAGTTCTTCCGATTTCGTGCCCATGATCTTGCATTCCTTGGAGTGACTGGTGCACGACGTGTCTTCGTGTAGAACTCCTCTGGGATGGCCTTGTAGAGCTTGGACAGGTACTTCAACTTGCCGTTGGGCAGATGTGCAGGAAATTGATCTCCAGGGTACGACTGTTGTGTCTCGTCGTACTCTTCGTCCATGGTGTCCACCTTCAAGACCTGGATGGCAGGCTCGGTGTCGTCAACCTTCATGGAGATCTTGACATCGTTATGGATGTTGTCATTCATCTTGGGTTCTGGTAGTGATGGAAGTTCAGACTCCAGTGTCTCAGTGTTGAACTGAAGCTTGTTGCTGTCGATGTTGAGAGAGTTGTCGTGGAGATGGCAATTGTCGCTCTGCTCACGTGCTGCTGCTTGGCCGGTCTTCTTCTTGCATCGCCAGAGTCTCAAGATCTCGGTCTTCTCATCCTCCGTCATAGTTTGGTCCACCTGGTTGACTGGTAAGATGTAGTGACCTGACTCTGCAAGAAGCAACTTGGTGACGACCAAATCGGCTTGTGGATGGTCCGGTCGAAGGCCATTGGTGCTGCAAATCATCACACCGTCGCCGTTCTCGTACCATTGGGTCAGCATGACCGTCCTCAGCTGTCTCAAGCTGGTGTTGGGAAGAAGTGCAGGACAGGTACTCCCGGAACCACCAATGAGGTCTGCAGTATATTCAGCCTCCTTCAAGCCAAGTCCAAAAGGGAGAGAAACTCTGGCCAAAGTGCTGTCTGCTTGGCCAGAAATCCCTGTCACCGTAGTTGAAGATGGGCCCCATGTGATCTCCTTGACCTTGTCCTGGGGCACCATGCCGGAGTCCAAGAGCTCTCGCAGCGTGTCAGTACCGACAAGGCCTGAGCTTGCTCCAGGGTCCACAAGCAACCCACAGATCTTCTTGCCTCGAACTGTGTGGTAGCTCTCAAAGGCGTTCTCGTTGATCTCAGGGAAGTTGAGCTTCTTCGGTCGCTGCTCGCTGTTGCCATCCGTGGGAGATTCTTGTTCAGGATGATCTGCAAAGCGAACTTTTCGACCAGGAAAGAGCTTGTTGGCATCCTCCACATTGAAGGTGTCTCGAATGGTCACCTCAGGGATGTTGGCATTCTCCTGAACGTTGTTGGTGTCCTGAATGCCGTTCTTGTTCATGAGATAGGCACCGCCGTAGTAGTCCATGTAGCTCTTCGGCATCTCATCCAAGAGGTATCCTTTGCGACCAAAACGTCCACCATTGAAGGATCCTTTCTTGCCGAAGCCCTTGTAACCCTTGGGTCTTCCAAAGCCTTTCCTGTTGAAGCTCTTCCCATAGCCCTTGCCTTTGCCAGACCCCTTGTACTTGCCCTTGTTCTTGCCGTAGTTCTTTCCTTTTCCTTTCTGAGCATCATTCAGGGGGCACGAGTGGGTGTTGTGCCATTTGCTCCCACAAGTGCCACATCCAAGGCCCATTGACGAAGGTCGGCCCTTGCCCTTGAAGTAGTCCTCCTTCTCAGACTGGGTGTTGCCGGAGTCTACCTTCTGATCGGCTCCATCATCTTCTGGTTGTTCGTCGTCCCAGCCATAGTCATAGTGCTCGGGCCAGTCCTGGTAGTAGCTGTCATAGTCGGCCTCCTCATAGTCCCAAGGTTCACCATACCATCCATCATCATACCATGCGTAGAGCTCGTCCATGTGGTAGGTGCCAGCAGGGCCGCTGTCTGACCAGTTGTCAGTGACAGCACTCCAGGAGCCATCATCTTCGCCATAGGATTGCGATCCGTCCTCATAGAGCGCTGAGTGGGAGCCAGCATCAAAGCTCCTGTGGGACATCCTCAGCATGAGGGTGCGGATCTCGTCGAACCTGGCCATGTCTCCATGAACTTGAAGAAGTAGATCGTCTATCGTCTTCTGGCTCAGCTGCGACGACTTCAGGTAGAGGTAGGTTCGAGCCACATTGTTGAGGTCCAGGCCGCTGTGAGTGATGGCCTCGTCCAAGTTCAGCTGCCATTGGACTGACCATTCCGGCAGCGCCATGCGACCTCTTTTGAACTCGAAGAAGACCTCCATAGCCCGTGTCGCACGTAGTTGATCTGCTTCTCCAAAGGCGGCTCGAAGAGCGGCAAGTAGTGCCTGAACTCCGCTAGGAATCGCCTGTTGGATCACCTGGCCATTGACTGGGTCTCGGACTTCATCAACTGATAGCCTGACCAGAGCGCTGTCACCGATGTCCACTCCACCATGAGGATCGGGAAGGCGTAGTGTCAAAGCTATCTGTTGGGCTCGTCCACGGAGTCGCTCAGCAAGTAGTGGTCCAACGGATTCATCTGGGCCTTCATAAATCCGGTACCACATCTTCACCCGCTCCAGGTAGAGCTTCAGCGGGTAGTCCATGTTGCCCGGACTCCAACCCGGCGGCACGTCCCGTCGGTATTCATCCAGCGGGATTCCTCCTCCGGTAGAGCTGGAAGCCGCTGTAGCCATTCTCTGTCAGGACAAACGCAATGATGTAGTGCGCCCCAAAAGGCTCGACCACCACAGCAGCGCAGCCCAGCGAGAACAGCTCGAGGATCGTAGTGCAATGGCGTGACACCGAAGTGCGAGAAGTTCGAAAAGGGGAAAAGTTGGAGACTGGGCTAACCAGCTCCGCTACCAAACTGAAGTAGGCAGCCTTTTACCGTGGTTTGGACCTAAAGGTGCACCTGGGATATACAGGTGATTGAACTTGTTACACTTCTCGATTTATGCACATGGGATGCAATCCAACTGTCGACTCATACATTACATACATTACATACATTACATACATTACATACATTACATACATTACATTACATACATTACATTACATACATTACATACATTACATACATTACATACATTACATACATTACATACATTACATACATTACGTACATTACGTACATTACATACATTACATACATTACATACATTACATACATTACATACATTACATACATTACATACATTACATACATTACAGTACATTACATTTACATGCATTACATACATTACATACATTACATACATTACATACATTACATACATTACATACATTACATACATACATACATTACATTACATACATTACATTACATACATTACATACATTACATACATTACATACATTACATACATTACATACATTACATTACATCCATACATACATTACATACATTACATACATTACATACATTACATACATTACATACATTACATACATTACATACATTACATACATTACATACATTACATACATTACATACATTACATACATTACATACATTACATACATTACATACACATACATACATACATACATACATTACATTACATTACATTACTTTACATAACGTTATACATAACATTACATAAATCATACATAACCTTACATACATTACATACATACATACATACATACATTACATTACATTACATTAATAACATACATAACATTACATAACATTACATAACATTACATAACATTACATAACATTACATAACATTACATAACATTACATAACATTACATAACATTACATAACATTACATAACATTACATAACATTACATCACATTACATCACATTACATAACATTACATAACATTACATAACATTACATACATAACATTACATAACATTACATAACATTACATAACATTACATAACATTACATAACATTACATAACATTACATAACATTACATAACATTACATAACATTACATAACATTACATAACATTACATAGCATTACATAGCATTACATAACATTACATAACATTACATAACATTACATAACATTACATAACATTACATACATACATACATTACATACATACATACATACATACATTACATTACATACATACATACATACATTACATACATACATTACATACATACATACATTACATTACATTACATTACATTACATTACATTACATACATTACATACATTACATACATTACATTACATTACATTACATTACATTACATAACATTACATACATACATACATACATACATACATACATTACATACATACATCCATCCATCCATACATACATACATATATATCATATACATATGTATAGAAATTTAAATATATATATATGTGTGTGTGTTATATATATATATGTTATATATATATATGATATATATATGATATATATATATATATATATGTTATATATGATTATACAATAGATAATCAATTAATTCATCAATAATTCATCATCGATTTTCCCATGTTTATCCCTTTTTTTCCATCTTCGGGAATGGTCCAAGAGGCTGTGAAGGCTACAAGCACGATGGTTGCACAGAGAGCTGCATAGCAGTATTGGAAGGTCCTGGCGCAGCGGCGTCTCCGCGCTATGCTTTTAAGGCGGTAGACCAAACCCTGACTATGAAAATTGGGATTGACCTGCCCTGAATCTCTAGTGATAGTGCTATTGAAATTTTGAAGTTTTGCTTTTTGATTTTCCATGTGTTTTCCATTTTGTTTTCCATTCTTTTGCTTTTTTTCAAGTTTAAAATCATTAGAATAAGCTATAGAGGTGAACATAATTTTAGATTTCTGCAGCGGCCTAGCAAACATTTTTGCGTGTTAGGCCGCCACTAGTGAAGCCGGACGCACCAAAACACATAATAGTTCATAAAAAAAATCTTTACAACGGAGTACTCTTCTGTTTCGTTACAGGACCACTCTCTGCCTTTTCGTTACAGGACAACTCTTCTTTTTTCGTTATAGCATTTCCTTTTCGTTAGAGCTTGTCCGTTTCGTTACAACTTTCCTTTTTCGGTACAGACTTTCCGTTTTGTTACAGCTCGTCTTTTTCGTTTCTACTCTTCCTTTCCGTTACAGGTCTTTTGTTTCGTTACAGCTCTTCCTTTCCGTTACAGTTCCCTTTGTCGTTACAACTTTTCCTTTTTCGTTACCACTTTTCCTTTTCGTTACAACGCATGTTTTTCGTTACAGGTCTTCCTGTTTGTTGCAGCTCTGCCTTTTCGTTACAGCTCTTCCTTTTCGTTACAGCTTTTTCTTTTCGTTACAACTGTCCCGTTTCGTTACATAGTTTCCGTTTTGTTACAGCTCTTGTTTTTCGTTTCAACTCTTCCTTATCGTTACAGCTCTTCCTTTTCGTTTCAGCTCTTCCTTTTTTGTTGCAACTCTTTCTTTTCGTTGCAACTCTTCCTGTGTATTATACAACTGGTCCTCTTGGTTACAGCTCTGCCTTTTTTTACAGCTCCGCCTTTTCGTTGCAGCTCTTCCTTTTCCTTTTTGTTACAGCTCTTCTATTTCCTTACAACTATTCCTTGTCGTTAGAGTTCTTCCTTTTCGTTATAACTCTATCTTTTCGTTGCAGCTCTTCCTTTTCCTTTTTGTTACAGCCACAGCTCTTCTATTTCCTTACAACTATTCCTTGTGGTTAGAGTTTCCTTTTCGTTATAACTCTATCTTTTCGTTGCAGCTCTGTCTTTCGCTACGTTACAACTCTTCCTTTACAACTCATCTTTTTCGTAATAGCTTTTCCTTTTTGTTACAGTTCTGCCGTTTCGTTACAGCTTTCCTTTCCGTTGCAACTCTTCCTTTCTCTTATAGCTCTTTCTTTTCGTTACAACTATTCCTTTTCGTTGCAGTTCTTCCTTTTCGTTACAACTCTCTTCCTTTTCGTTGCAGCTCTGCCTATTCGTTACCACTATTCCTTTTCGTTACAACTTATCTTTTTTGTTACAACTCTTCTTTTTTCGTTGCAGCTCTGCCTTTTCATAATTACAGCTCTTCTTTTTCGTCGCAACTCTTCCTTCTAGTTGCAACTCATCTTCTTCGTTTCAGCTTTTTCTTTTCTTTACAGCTCTTCCTTTTCGTTACAACGCTTCTTTTTTGTTACAGTTCTTCCTTTGTGTTTTACCTCGTCTGTTCGTCGGCCGGGGCAGTGGTAAAACGGTAACATAGTAAAAGGTTCTACCGTTAGACCGTCCGCTGGTCCACCGGTAAAACGGTAAAACGGTAAAATGGTAAAAGCTTTTACCGTTTTACCGTTTTACTGTGCGCCCGGACAAAAAGGCACCCTTAAACCCACGTCACGCACGATAACGGCTTAGGCTATAGTATAGGTCAAAAGCCTGGTACCCAAAACTGTTCACGTCAAAACAGCTGGGATGTATGGATGTGCATAAATACCCAAAATATGGCCTCGTAGCATTTAAGCCATTCCCACGTTTTTTGTCTGCCTTGGAAAGTGTGCCAAAGCTGCCTAAGCTGTCTTTCATGTTACACGTAATAGTTCCCAAACTTCGATGCTTAGGAGCTTGACTGTATTCCACCCGAAATCAAATGGCCCAGTCAAAAGGGATGAAAGTACCCAGTTGCTAATCGTACACTACCTGGATGATATTTTATCTAGATTGAAACTAGATTAAACATAGTTGTGCATGATCATGTACCAATCACCAATATTTTTCCCTGCAATTTCATGGTGATTGGTTCAATCTCAGTGCGCAAAAGATCATTGCCACTTCCTTCTTCACAAACAAGGTTCATCCCATTTAGCATCCGTTTTTTTCCGGATATCAGCCATGGGCGCATTCTAGCTGGTGAATCTACCCAACTCACATAAAGAATTGTTAATACTTAACCAATCTAAACTGGTTGGTGGTTTCAACCCCTCTGAAAAATATGAAAGTCAGTTGGGATGATTATTCCCAATATATGGAAAGTTAAGATCATGTAGGGCTACTTACCCTGTGACGTCGCAGGTCGTTCTAGTGGAGGGCTGACCTTCCCACCAATCGTCCTGGAGGTCTTCCGGAAGAGTCCGCTGATCAGCCGCCATGCCTAGCGTAGGGATACCAGAAACAATATAACACCCTATGTGATTGATTTCATTATCTTGATGCATATATGCATACATGTGCATATCTACATATGTATAAACATAAAGATACATACATTGCATTGCATTGCATTGCATTGCATTGCGTTACAATACAATACAATACAATACAATACATTACAATACAACAATATGCAATATAATACATATACATTGAATGCATACATTACATAGATTACATAGATTACATGCATTACATACATTACATACATTAAATACATTACAGACCTTAAATACATTACATACATTAAATTCATTACATACATAACATATATTACATGCATAACATACATAACATACATAACATACATAACCTACAGTCAAACGTTACATATATTACATACATACATACATTGCATACCTTCCATACATTCCATACCCTACATACATTCCATGCATAACATACATGACATACATATCATACATAACATATATATTATATATATAGCATGCACTACACAACATACATAACATACATTAAGTACATAACATATATAGCATGCATTAGACAACATACATAACATACATTACATACATAATCATATAATATATAGCGCGCATTACACAACATACATAACACACATAATATACATAAGATACATAACATAAATCATAATAAACTATATACATACATAATCATGTATGGCACGAATTACACAACATACATAACATACATAACATACATTGCATGCATTACATACATTACATACATAACCTGCATAACATGCGAAACATGCATAACATACATAACATACATAACACACATAACATACATCACAATATATAACGAAACAAACCAGAAGAAAACATAACCGAACGTAACATCACATAACATACATGCGAACATACATTGCATTACATTGCCTTACATTACATTACATTACATTACAGTACATTCCGTTAGGTCACATGACATTCCGTTAGGTCACATTGCATTACATTACATTCATACATTAATTACAATACATATATTAATTACATAAACATACATTAATTAAATGACATTCATTAATCACATTAAACAAACACATTACGTACATTACATTACATTGCATTACATTGCATTGCATTGCATTGCTGCATTGCATTGCACTGCATTGCATTGCAATACATTGCATTACCTTGCCTTACATTCCATTGCATTACACTACATTACATACATACATATGATGTCTAGAATCTATGCGTTGATAAATGGACAAATCCTATATCCGCGATGATGAAGAAGAACAAGGACATCACAAAGCAATCATACGTAAAAGACCGTAAAAGTATGTGCCGGCAAAACAAACCAATTTTTTGACCACCTTGCGAGAAGCTGCTTGATACCTGCAAAGCATTTCCTGGTGAAACCAGGGTGCTGGTCATACCGACAATCCAGAACACTTTTTGGCTTCGCCGTGCTGCCGAGTTCATTCACATGTTGGAAGGGTCAAACTTGGAATACAAATGAATCTAAATGTTTATGAATGTTTGCTATTAGATGAAAGAAAACCTCCACCTTAGAAAGGGAATACCATCTGGTTATTTAACATAGCCATGGAAAATCACCATTTTTAATAGGTAAGCCATCTATTTCTATGGGCCATCTATACCATGGCTATGTTAGTCATAACCAGAGGGTATAGAGTTCTGACAGAAATAGCCACAACATTTCTGCTGCATCAAGAATTCCTTGCCCCTCGAACAACACGTGGTGTCACCCCAAAACAACAATATGTTGGGGATATATTGTGTGATATTTCCTGACAAATGTGGGTCAAAACCATGCTACCCTGGTGAACCCTAAGATAGCTACAAATTGATGTTCGTCCCCTCAAATATACCAACATAGGTTTTGACTCATCCCCAACTATCACCGTGGCACCCAAATTATCACCCACAGAAAACCCCAGTTTCGTTGCCACGGTGCCCCCTTCAGTTGCCAGGCGCTGCTTTGCCCACGCACCAACGTCCCACTCCATTCGTTGATGATCAAAGTCATGGCGTGGGAGGTCCTCACCTCCACAAGTGATGATGGCTCCGTTAGAAAGTGTCTGAATCGGGTTAGAATTCAAGAGAATACGTGTGTGTATATATATATATGTCTGTGTGTGACCATCTCTGGATTGCCTCTCCCATCATGAAACTGACAACCGCAAAGACGATTCATAAACTGATCCAATTGTGATTTGTTGCCTAGGTGCCTCCTCAAAAGGTGTTCTTAGTTATGCCAATTTTCGCGGGCAAAACCTCATGTGTACACATGTCGATATGCACGTTTATGCATGCATGTATGTATGCATGTAAGTATGCATGTATGCATGTATGCATGTATGCATGAATGTGTGGATGTATGCATGTATGCATGTATGCATGTATGCATGTATGCATGCATGTGTGCATGTATGCATGCATGTATGCATGTATGCATGTATGCATGTATGCATGTATGGATGTATGCATGTATGCATGTTTGCATGTATGCATGTATGCATGTATGCATGTATGGATGTATGCATGTATGCATGTTTGCATGTATGCATGTATGCATGTATGCATGTATGCATGAATGTGTGGATGTATGCATGTATGCATGTATGCATGTATGCATGTATGCATGCATGTGTGCATGTATGCATGCATGTATGCATGTATGCATGTATGCATGTCTGCATGTATGCATGTATGCATGCATGTTTGAATGTATGCATGTATGCATGAATGCATGTATGCATGTATGCATTTATGATGTATGCATGTATGCATGTATACATGAACGCACGTATGCCTGTATGCACGTATGCATGTGAGTATGCATGTATGTATGCATGCATTTATGCATGTATGCATGCATGCATGTTTGAATGCATGCATGTATGCATGAATGCATGTATGCATGTATGCATTTATGATGTATGCATGTATGCATGTATACATGAACGCACGTATGCCTGTATGCACGTATGCATGTGAGTATGCATGTATGTATGCATGCATTTATGCATGTATGCATGTATGCATGGATGCATGGATGCATGGATGCATGCATGTATGCATGTATGCATGTATGCATGTATGCATGTATGCATGTATGCATGTATGCATGTATGCATGTATGTAGGTAGGTAGATAGGTAGGTCTGTAGGTCTGTAGGTCTGTAGGTCTGTAGGTGTGTAGGTCTGTAGGTATGTAGGTATGTAGGTATGTAGGTAGGTATGTAGGTATGTAGGTAGGTAGGTATGTAGGTATGTAGATATGTAGGCATGTAGGTATGTAGGTATGTAGGTATGTAGGTATGTAGGTATGTAGGTATGTAGGTATGTAGGTAGGTATGTAGGTATGTAGGTAGGTAAGGTATGTAAGTATGAAGATATGCAGGTATGTAGGTATGTAGGTATGTAGGTATGTAGGTATGTAGGTATGTAGGTATGTAGGTATGTATGTACGTACAAATATGTACAAATATAACATACATTCATATATGCATAATTGTACATGTATTCTGTATACACACTTGAACAACACCAGCAGCGCCTGCCAGAAGCTGGCAATCGCCAAGATGCCAGCACTCACGGCGAAAGGCCTCGCTTTTCTTTGGGTGCCAGGTTGATTATATGTTCATATTGAAATATACTTTTATGTGTAAATATGATTATCATGTATAAATGATACATATTATATATATATATATATGTATTGTTGGAGTTGTGTATGTGCATATAGAGAAAGTGATTGTATTGATACATGTGTACATATGTATGTATATATATATAGCATAGTAATACATATATATACATAGCGGCATTATATTGAATATATATATATATACTGGACGTGTCATGTATGTATTCATATGTGCTGATCTTGCATACAGATATAGTGTATACATACGCATTGCTATTACTTGTGTGTGCATATATGTACGTATACATACTAATTCTCAATATATGCATTGCTATTTGCTGGTACACGCAATTAAAAGGCGACAGTATATGTTTAACATGGTTTAACTCCTTCGTATAGATATAATATCATACATAAATCATGTATACCTCATCATATGGATCATAAATACATATAATATATATATACACATTGAATACATGCACATACGTGTACATGCATATATATATATATATATATATTCAATATGCACCGGGGTGATATGTATCTATAGATGCATATGTGGGTGATGTACATATAGCCTCGTCCAGGCTTCTGGAACTGCGTAAACCTGAATTAGGTTGGTAAAACTTGTCCATTCCGTGACGAAATTTCGTTGCGGAATTAACAAGTTTCATTTGGGTCATGTTCATCATCATCATCCTCATCATCATCATCAGCATCATCATCATCATCATCAGTGTCATCATCATCATCATCATCATCATCATCATCATCAGTATCATCGTAGCATCAACTGCTGCCGCAAGTTCACATGAACGTTAACATCCCACCCCACCCCACCCTGCGTGTGCGTAGCATCAACTGCTGCCGCAAGTTCACATGAACGTTAACATCCCACCCCCCCCCCCCCCCCCCGCGTGTGCGTAGCATCAACTGCTGCCGCAAGTTCACATGAACGTTAACATCCCACCCCACCCCACCCCCCAATCGTATTCAGGTTTATGTACGCAGTTCCAGAAGCCTGGACAAGCCTACATATACAGTATACATATTATATATATATATGTAGCAATAAACATACATGCATAATCATCTGAAAATATCTATATTTGTAATTTTCGTTATCCTTTGAATAAGAAAAATCCTAGTGATGTTGGGCAACTGGACTCCCGAGCTCCCCCCGGTTTTGTTTTGGCTTTAACAAATTGTGTCATCGGCACCAGCTCCTGTGAGAAAAATACATATCCGCCGACCCCGGCCTTCGCCAAGGCCGGGGCGGCGCCTGGGACCACCGCAGGTGTGGAACTTTTCCGCGCGGGCTTTAAGTGTGCGCGGCAGCTTCCACCAAGCCTGGCTGCAGCCTTTGCCGGTCCAGGGTTGCAGCCTGGCCCTTTGCCTGCACATCCCTCGCGGCAGCTTCCACCAAGCTCCTGGCCGTCAGCGTTCCAGCATTGCAGCCTGCCCTTTGCCTACACATAGCCCTCTCTTGTTAGGGCATTCGAGCCTACCGTTTGCCAGGCTTCAAACCCATAAAATGCATCAAACCCTCCTTTGCCTGCACATAGCCCTCTCTCGTTAGGGCATTCGAGCCTGCCGTTTGCCAGCCTTCAAACCCTTAAAACCCCTCAAACCCTCCGCGGCAGCTTCCACCAAGGTTGCAGCCTGCCCTTTGCCTGCACATCCCTCGCGGCAGCTTCTACCAAGCTCCTTGGCGGTCAGCTTTCCAGCATTGCAGCCTGCCCTTTGCCTGCACTTAGCCCTCTCTTGTTCGGCATTCGAGCCTGCCGTTTGCCAGCTTCTACCAAGCTCCTGGCCGTCAGCGTTCCAGCATTGCAGCCTGCCCTTTGCCTGCACATAGCCCTCTCTCGTTAGGGCATTCGAGCCTGCCGTTTGCCACGCTTCAAACGCTTAAAACCCTTAAAACCCTTAAAACCCTCCTTTGCCTGCACATAGCCTTCTCTCGTTAGGCATTCGAGCCTGCCGTTTGCCAGGCTTCAAACGCTTAAAACCCTTAAAACCCTCCTTTGCCTGCACATAGCCCTCTCTCGTTAGGGCATTCGAGCCTGCCGTTTACCGGCTTCAAACCCATAAAATGCTTCAAACCCTCCTTTGCCTGCACATAGCCCTCTCTCGTTAGGGCATTCGAGGCAGCTGCCACCACGCCCTCTGGCCGGCAGCCTTTGCTGTTCCAGGGTTGCAGCCTGCCCTTTGCCTGCACATCCCTCGCGGCAGCTGCCACCAAGCCCTCTGGCCGTCAGCGTTCCAGCATTGCAGCCTGCCCTTTGCCTGCACTGAGCCCTCTCTTGTTCCCCAACAAGCCCAACACGCGCCACTGCCGCACGCAAAAGCCACCACAAGGCCACAGCAATGGCTCAAGGGCACCCCACGGCCGCAGCAATGGCCTATTTTATAAGCGTTCAAGGCTGCCGTTTGCGAGGCTTCAAACCCTCCAAACCTTCCACCTCCTCCAAAAGTCCGGCCAGCTCCGCAAGGAAAAGGTACCCCAACAAGCCCAACACGCGCCACTCCCGCACGCAAAAGCCACCACAAGGCCACAGCAATGGCTCAAAAGCCACCACAAGGCCACAGCAATGGCTCAAGAGCACCTCTGGCCGTCAGCGTTCCAGCATTGCAGCCTGCCCTTTGCCTGCACTGAGCCCTCTCTTGTTCCCCAACAAGCCCAACACGCGCCACTGCCGCACGCAAAAGCCACCACAAGGCCACAGCAATGGCTCAAGGGCACCCCACGGCCGCACCAATGGCTTCTTATACGCGTTCAAGGCTGCCGTTTGCCAGGCCTCAAACGCTCCAAAACCCTCCAAACCCTCCAAAAGTCCGGCCAGCTCCGCAGGGAACAGGTACCCCAACAAGCCCAACACGCGCCACTCTCGCACGCAAAAGCCACCACAAGGCCACAACAATGGCTCAAGAGCACCCCACGGCCGCAGCAATGGCTTCAAGGCTGCCGTTTGCCAGGCCTCAAACCTTCCAAAACCCTCCAAACCCTCCAAAAGTCCGGCCAGCTCCGCAGGGAAAAGGTACCCCAACAAGCCCAACACGCGCCACTCCCGCACGCAAAAGCCACCACAAGGCCACAGCAATGGCTCAAGGGCACCCCAAGGCCGCAGCAATGGCTTCTTATACGCGTTCAAGGCTGCCGTTTGCCAGGCCTCAAACCCTCCAAAACCCTCCAAACCCTCCAAAAGTCCGGCCAGCTCCGCAGGGAACAGGTACCCCAACAAGCCCAACACGCGCCACTCTCGACTGCCGCACGCAAAAGCCACCACAAGGCCACAGCAATGGCTCAAGAGCACCCCACGGCCGCAGCAATGGCTTCTTTTATACGCGTTCAAGGCTGCCGTTTGCCAGGCCTCAAACCCTCCAAGACCCTCCAAACCCGCCAAAAGTCCGGCCAGCTCCGCAGGGAAAAGGTACCCCAACAAGCCCAACACGCGCCACTCCCGCACGCAAAAGCCACCACAAGGCCACAGCAATGGCTCAAGAGCACCCCACGGCCGCAGCAATGGCTTCTTATACGCGTTCAAGGCTGCCGTTTGCCAGGCCTCAAACGCTCCAAAACCCTCCAAAACCCTCCAAACCCTCCAAAAGTCCGGCCAGCTCCGCAGGGAAAGGTACCCCAACAAGCCCAACACGCGCCACGGCCGCACGCCAAAGCCACCACAAGGCCACAGCAATGGCTCAAGAGCACCCCACGGCCGCAGCAATGGCTTCTTATACGCGTTCAAGGCTGCCGTTTGCCAGGCCTCAAACGCTCCAAACCCTCCAAACCCTCCAAAAGTCCGGCCAGCTCCGCAAGGAAAAGGTACCCCACCAAGCCCAACACGCGCCACTCCCAGCACGCAAAAGCCACCACAAGGCCACAGCAATGGCTCAAGAGCACCTCTGGCCGTCAGCGTTCCAGCATTGCAGCCTGCCCTTTGCCTGCACTGAGCCCTCTCTTGTTCCCCAACAAGCCCAACACGCGCCACTGCCGCACGCAAAAGCCACCACAAGGCCACAGCAATGGCTCAAGGGCACCCCACGGCCGCAGCAATGGCTTCTTATACGCGTTCAAGGCTGCCGTTTGCCAGGCCTCAAACGCTCCAAAACCCTCCAAAAGTCCGGCCAGCTCCGCAGGGAAAAGGTACCCCAACAAGCCCAACACGCGCCACTCCCGCACGCAAAAGCCACCACAAGGCCACAGCAATGGCTCAAGAGCACCCCACGGCCGCAGCAATGGCTTCTTTTATACGCGTTCAAGGCTGCCATTTGCCAGGCCTCAAACTCTCCATACCTTCCAAAACCCTCCAAACCCTCCAAAAGTCCGGCCAGCTCCGCAGGGGAAAGGTACCCCAACAAGCCCAACACGCGCCACTCCCGCACGCAAAAGCCACCACAAGGCCACAGCAATGGCTCAAGAGCACCCCACGGCCGCAGCAATGGCTTCTTATTCTTATAGGCGTTCAAGGCTGCCGTTTGCCAGGCCTCAAACCCTCCATACCCTCCAAAACCCTCCAAACCCTCCAAAAGTCCGGCCAGCTCCGCAGGGAACAGGTACCCCAACAAGCCCAACATGCGCCACTCTCGCACGCAAAAGCCACCACAAGGCCACAGCAATGGCTCAAGAGCACCCCACGGCCGCAGCAATGGCTTCTTATAGGCCGCGTTCAAGGCTGCCGTTTGCCAGGCCTCAAACCCTCCAAACCCTCCAAACCCTCCAAAAGTCCGGCCAGCTCCGCAGGGAAAAGGTACCCCAACAAGCCCAACACGCGCCACTCCCGCACGCAAAAGCCACCACAAGGCCACAGCAATGGCTCAAGGGCACCCCACGGCCGCAGCAATGGCTTCTTATAGAATGGGCTAGCGCCCAGGTGCCGCCGACCCCCCTAATTGGAGGGGGGGTACTGTAGAGAGAGAGAGGGAGACGGACAGCAAGACAGACATATGGCCGTTTGCTTCTCAAGCCTGTGGCCTTGTCGTCGCTTTTGCGTGCGGGCGTGGCGCCTGTTGGGGTACCTTTTGCATCGGAGTTGGGCGGACTTTTGGAGGAGTTGGAAGGTTTGGAGGGTTTAACGCCTATCAGAAGCCATTGCTGCGGCCGGGGGGTGCCCTTCAGCCATTGCTGTGGCCTTGTGGTGGCTTTTGCGTGCGGGAGTGGCGCGTGTTGGGCTTGTTGGGGTACCTTTTCCCTGCGGAGCTGGGCGGACTTTTGGAGGGTTTGGAGGTTTGGAGGGTTTGAGGCCTGGCAAACGGCAGCCTTGAACGCCTATAAGAAGCCATTGCTGCGGCCGGGGGGTGGCCTTGAGCCATTGCTGTGGCCTTGTGGTGGCTTTTGCCTGCGGGAGTGGCGCGTGTTGGGCTTGTTGGGGTACCTTTTCCCTGCGCAATGGCTTCTCCAAACCCTCCAAACCTTCCAAACCCTCCAAAAGTCCGCCCAGCTCCGCAGGGAAAAGGTACCCCAACACCCAACAGGCTTGAGAAGCAAACGGCCATATGTCTGTCTTGCTGTCCGTCTCCCTCTCTCTCTCTACAGTACCCCCCCTCCAATTAGGGGGGTCGGCGGCACCTGGGCGCTAGCCCATTCTATATAGATTATATAATCACCCTCTCTAAATGGAGGTAAAAATACATTTTTTACTCGTTTTTTTGTAAGAAAATCAATGAAAATAATCTATAAATTAGTGTTCCACTTCCATGTTTGACTGATGACTGCCAGGGGCCCTCGGATTGGGCCAGGATACAGCATGGACAGGAGAACGGGTCCCCATCCACCCTCCCGGTGTTCCTGCCGCGTTACCAGGGTGGGTCAAGTCAATTTGGGGTTCCAATGGCTGGAACGTAAAGAGATAGTAAGTGACCACTCGTTGAATAGGAGTTGACCTTTCTATCTTTTTTGGATTTTTTTGGGGGTTGCTGTACTGTAGGTTATCCAGTCTTGAAGTTGATGATCTTGGGCCATCAATGGGGGTTCGCGCCGATGAAATGAAATAAAAGATGGGTGACTGGGCCCACGGGGCCCGGGGCCCATATCCCGTGAGGGCGAGATCAGAATGATCGAAACAAGTGGGATTCAAAAAGTCCGAATTTTGGGTGTTTCACATAGGCTACTGAGCTACTTGGCAATGACTGTTCGTCCCGGCTATTTGACGCGGCCAAGCAGGCGACTATGAGCCCAATCATTTCAATCCTCTTAGGGCTCTCATATGCTTGTTGCTGGGGGGAAAGAAGGGAGCAGAATCCATGAGTAAGTACAATGCAACTGGTCAAAGGTTCTTCAAATGGATTTCTCTGATGGATACCCCAAAATGACCATTTAATTGAACAAAAATATGATTTACAAGTATTTAACTAGTGGATTTGGGGGTACCAACCAGTTTCGTCAATGTTTTTTGCCACAGAACCCTTCGCTCCTCCAGGGTCATCAGAGTCACCGCCACCCGACCTCCCAGCAGCCCCAAGAATAATAGGCTGGCCATGAGAGCATCCGTGCAGCTCCATATTCTCCAAGCGTGATCCAAATGGATCATTTCGCAACAGTCAGCCAGATCTCGGGAACCTGGAAGCATTGGAAGCATTGGAGATGGGGAAATCGCAAGAAAGATCACCACTTTTGTACAAACCTAATCAAACGTGGCTAGCTGGAAAATCCCAAACGCAAATGGAAGTTTCCATGGGAGAATCGATTATAAACAGGGGATTGTCCATTCCCCCGATGGCTGGACTTGGTTCCCATGGCCATGGTTCGCAGAGGTATCATTAGTGGGAGCAGATTAATTGAAAATGCATCCCCTGAGTCCCTGAGTCGTAGAGCGATCAGTGAATAATTGGTGGGGCGCCAAATTTAAAGAAAACAGAATGGCCGAAGTGGTAATTCCTTGGGGACCACACTTCTGACTTCACAACGGGAATTTTCAGATTTGCTATTTTTGCTATTCCTAATTACCAATCACAAGCTGTCACAAGCTGGAATGTAGTCTTAAGTATACCGGAAAAAAATCGGTTGGGCATTGTTTCCACATTTTTTCATGATTTTTCACGAAAGAAACACACCAATAAGCGACTACGGTCCAGTCACTTCACCCATGATCGTGAGATCCCCATTCTCGTTAAATACCTCCCCAAACCTACCGGCGGCCCACCCCGCAGGCAAGGATCATGGTTGTGTGTAGCTGGGTCTTATTTGGCCCCCTTCATATTATCTACATACATACAGCATACACACACATATTATATATATATTATGCCCGTCTTTGCACACACAAATAAAAACAAATAATTATATATATATATCATATTAGGAGAAAATCAAACTTGTATGCATATGTGTATATACATATATAATCATATATATATAATACGGTATACAGTGTTCAAGTGCCCCAGACTGTCGGCTCGATTTAGCTGCACAAGGAACTTGCACTTCACAAGTGACATCTTCGATGGAATCGTGACAACTCTTATGGAATCGTGACAACTTCTATGGAATTCCTATGTTGACAAAACATAATGAAACCCGTTAAGTTTTAGAAACCCTCCAAAAAGCACGTAAATACGTTATACCTTTTACCCATGTATATGTACATATTTGCAGACACATATAAATACATATACAATCATATACACAATGTATCATTATTATCATTATTATCATTATCATTATTATTATTATTGTTATTTGTTATTATCATTATTATTGATCGTTATTATTGATTGTTCTTATCACTGTTGTCATTGTTATGGTATTTATATATATATATATATTATCTTATGCACATGTCCAAATCATTCATATATATGTATATGGGTAAATTACAATATTTCACTAACCTGAATTAAGGCCATTTGGGGATGATTTCCCTTACTAACCATATATTCATATACAATCATACGTACATTTCCACAGATGCCCCAAGAATCCCAAGACCCATCACATCGCGGCACCAGAGGCCACCCGCTGAGTTGTTTCCTGCGAAGGTTTTCGCGGTTTTCGATGGGTTAGATAGAGAGATAGGTTATATACTTTAACCATGGTTAATAGTGATTAATAGTGGTTAATAGTGGTTATTAGTGATTAATGCCTGATCTAATGAATAATATATCTGGTTGGTGGTGTCAACCCCTCTGAAAAATAGTCAATGGGAAGGATGACAACCCATATATGAAATGGAAAATAAAAAATGTTCCAAACCACCAACCAGTTATTCAACATGGGTTTTATAAACAATGTTACAATATGGGTTATAGAATGCTATATAATGTTATATATATATACACTGGTTGGTGGTTTTAAGCATCTTGAAAAATATGAAGGTCAAATGGGAGTATTATTCCCAATATATGGAAAAATAAAAAATGTTCCAAACCACCAACCAGATAATGATACATAGATACATATATGTGCAGCTATACCTATACCTATACAATTCTATACATAGATATACAGACAGTAATATACTTATTGCAGTTGCAACGTCTAAATAGACATGTACATACACAGATATACACATGTTCTTAGTGCTATGCATACATGCGTATGTCTCTACGTATTCCTATGCATGCTTTCTTTAGCGGTGCATGTCGATTGTATTTGGGAAGTACGAAAACCTGAGAAGTCCAAGCCGATCCGTCAGTGTAGTTGTTACACCAATAACTCCCCTAGCATTCTGTGACACGATGCCCACGATGCCACCCCTTCCGTTTTTTACAAAGACCTCTAAAGGCGGCTTGGAGGATCATCCCACCATAACAACCCTGAATGGTAAGTCTCCAAGTCCGGAGTCTTCGCGAGAACTGGGTAGCAGCCAATCGCTCGAAGGCTTTAGCCAGTTGAGAATGTCAACCCCAAATTCAACATTAACATGGTGATTAATCCCAATAGGTTTTTCAATAATCACTAATAAACTCCCAGTTGAGTGATAAATTCGACTTCCAACTTGGTCCCACTCTTTGATAAATACTTCATCCTTAGTCACTTAGTCATCCCACGAGAGAATAACTTGTCAACTTGTCGTCCCGGTGGCTCCGGTGGCTCCGGTGGCTCCTGGTAAGACCAAAAGCCACCCCAGCTGCTCAAGACCATGCATGCGCTGATCACGATTGCCAGGTCAGTGGTCAAGGGAGGCAACCCCCCACAGTCAAAGTCCTGTTTTTTTTTGAGGGCGGCCTTTTTGGGATGCCTACCCTCTGGTAATGACTAACACTTTGCTACTAAAAATGGCCCAGTCCAAATAGTGGATTACCCATTAAAAATGGTGGATCTTTACATAGTTATGTTACTTTACCAGAGGGTAAAATCACCGTTTTCCTATGATTTTCCTTGATTTTCCATAGGGTATTGGATGACGGAAATCTCCGCCCCAACATATTCGGTCACCCTAAACCCAAAAGATCTTGGTGACATCTCGGCGCACCACATCTTTTTTAGGCCAGCCATGTGCGGGTAAAAAAATCCACGATGCTTGACTCCAGGTGTTGTTTTTCGTGTTTTCTCCAATTGGTGAAATCCAATGTCCATTTTTGGTGAAACATGTACTTCCGTTCATTTTGCAAAGGTTACATGTTTGGTTGTCCGGTTGTCCGCGCTTCAACCCCCGCTTTTGTTCGTTGCGTCCCCTTTTCGTTGGTGAATATCCCAACATGGTTGAATCCCCATTTGTGTTGATGGATTTCCCATTAAATCCCATTAAAATGCCATTAAATGCCATTAAATCCCATAATTCCCATTAAATCACGATGAAATCACCATTCAATCCCATGAATCCCATGAAATTACCATTAAATCACCATGAAGATCATTAAGTGCCTTTTTTGTTGTTTCAACCGTTTCTATCCGTAGGCCTCATCGTTCACATCGCTGCTGTAGCGACTGCCAAGCCAGGCTGCTGCCAAAATCAAGCTGAAGAGCACAAACCAATGGTAGAGACGGGACACCTCAGGCCGAAGTCCTGGACAAACATAGTGACGTGCGTGCATTGAAGTAGTTTATGTGTATAATATATATATATATATATATTCATGAATTAAATATGTTTCTTTATTTATGTATGTATTTATGTATTTATTCATTTATCTATTTATTTATTCAATTACAGTATATACAATGTGTATACATATATATATATATGATGTTATGATGTGTATTCTATATATATATACATATTTGTATATTTCGATATGCATGCCTGTATGTATTGAGACGTGCACCTACCATCTTTTTGATTCCATGTTTTAGGTTGAACGTGTGTTGTCATTGGGTTGCTGGTGGAAAATGTTACGCTAACAGGTTGCTATTATAACACTAAATGCTGGTTATTATTGCGTTAAATGGTGGTGATTATAACGTTAAGTTGCGGGTATCATGATTACATGATGGGAAACTATGCTGTTAAATGGTGGTCGTTAAACCTATTTAAATGGTGGGAAAACATTACCTGTAAATGGTAGCTAGTATTACCGTGAATGGTTTCGTTAAATCGGACACTTGTTGCTTTCATTGAGGAAAATGATTGCCCAACAATTGACAAATGTTGGCCCAAAATGATTACGGTAACCCTCCCCGTTGACATAATGTTTGTCATGTTCTTTTACAGCATAAAATTCCCACAATGAAGTTGTGAAGAACAAAATTCACCCCTGGTCAAAGCAGGGGGAGAGAGCGTTAGAGGAACTGATAGGAACTGTAAGCTGTTTCTTGAGAATGTTTCTGTACAGTTGAGTGACTTTGCCTGTTGTTTTTGGGACCTCAGAAGGCAACGTTTGACGAAGTCCAGCAAGAAAGGCTGGGGAAGTTCAATGTCATCCCTGGTTGCAAATCAAGAATCATGAATAAAATCGAAAGGAAAACATGGAACGAGCCAAGACGGGCAAAAACCCATGGCATTCCGGCACTTGATCTATCTTGATCTAATAAAGGCCTTCGACAAGCATGATCTAGTTGTTTGACAAAACAAATGTTTCCCTCTTGATATATAGAGATCGGTACCTGTTGGGGGGTTATGGCGATGGTTAAAGGAGTCCAGCCCAACGAGTGGCGCCACACCAGCAATACCGTTGGTTTGCTCGACTCATCGGTGAGCCCAGGCTCGGTTTGCCCATCTTGTGCCACTGCCGCCCGGATTCCATATCTGCTCTGTTGATCAATCCTTTTCTGTCTAGGGACCCCCCATTCCGTCATATTCCATCGACTGATTAATCATTTCCCCCACTAAATCGCATTTGTTTCCGGGCTCATACTCAATCTCCACGCAGCCCCGCAGAACCAAATGATTACTTTCTTGGTGAAAAAATCGAAAAAGATCCCCTGCAATTTCAGACAAACCTCTACAATTTCATAGTTTCTCCCAGCATTTTCGAATGTAAAATCTGAACATCTTGGTAAAGATTAGTATTTATCCATTTGATAGAGGTTTTCTCTAAAGTATTTGTTGGTAAATCAGATCTGCAGGGTTGCTTGAACTCCCCTATCTCCCCTATCTCCAGAACGGTCCCAGGAACCATTCGCCGAGCCCGGAGCCGGAGTCGACTCCGGCTAGTGTCCTGGGAATTCCACCGACCGGCGAATGGTGATGAACAATGGATATATCATTGGGATATACCTATATAATATATGATAATATGATATATGGTATATAATATATGATAGATGATAGATGATAGATTATAGATGATAGATGATAGATGGATATTATAATGAATTCAAAATGATATATGAATAATTTTACCATATCTGTAAACCCGCTCCTGTGGTGATGAGAACCTGATGATTATGCACACCCCCATCAGATAGAACCCTCAACAATTCAGTGTTCGGACAATCGTTTGAATGTTGGCAAATTGCAATCATTCGGCCTAAAATATCCCAAACATGTTGATCATGTTGACCATTTGGGGAATGACGTCCCACACTAACCATCATAGAAATTTTATGAATTTTTGAGGTCGGCGGATGAAGTCGCCCTGTGTTGCGCCGAAACCCCAACGAGGGAGACGTCCCCTACCTGGTAGGCCACTGACGTGCAGATCAACAAATTGTCTCCGCTAGACCCGAGAGGTGTCTCCAGTAATCAAACATGGCTAGCTGGGAAATCATCCATAAACGGAGATTGTCCAGCTAGTCATGTGACTGATTACCGGTCGGTTTGCCACTGTAATAGGATACAACCCAAAATTTCACGTGATATTAACAACAAACCAAAGATTTCAGCACCCAAAATTGAAAATGGGTGGATTCACCGGTTCAACCAGCAAAGTGGGTACAAATGCGTTCAACATAACTGACAACAGTTGAATTCACCAGCAAGAAATAGCAAACCTGTCCCCCTCCAACTGGATCCCCTCTGCTGTTTCCTCTGCTTCCATCTGGACATCGAAGAGAGGCATCAAACCTCGTGACAAGGCGGGTGGGCTTTGACTTTCCGAAGGATCATTGAAATGGGGTATACCATGCATGGTCCCAAAAAATGCCATGCTAACAGGGAAAATGTGTTTTTAATTATTAGGTTCTTAGTGGGGTGCCCAACTTGAGGCGAGCACCCAAAAAAAAGATGCTGAAAGTCGGGTTTCCGGGATGGTAGCTCGATTATGTCTTCGGTACCTTTTTTCCCCGGTTTCCAACGTTTTTATTGCTTTTGGGGTTGCTATAGTTTATCCAAACATGATCATCTGGGATCCCCCTATTATTGCGGACCCTGACAGACCCCGGAACTGTTGATTCCTCCCATGTCCTGTTTCTTAACACCACTAGGCCTAGAAACCCGTCAACAGACATATGAAATGCTATGAATGCTCCATATCCCTCAAAATCAGCAGACTTACTATTTCAGAAAATCGATGTGATTTGAGTGGGATGGGAAGCCATATTCCATCATATTCCATAATATTCCATCATATTCCATGATATTCCATATTCCTCTATGGACATGTTAAAAAATGAAGGTTTATTTCAATGGGATTTAATGGTTCAAAGCATTCCTTCCCAGGTCAGCCAGGAAGCCCAAAGCTTTCGATGCATATCTCGCCAGAAATTCATGCAGCGGACTGGGCACAAAACGGGACCATCGGAAGGATAAAACCACCCTTTTCGTTCAACGGGACTTACGTTAAATGGGACTTGCCTACTGGTAATTTAACATGGCTTTATATGGCTACTGTATATATTATTTATGCAAAGTGGCCCATTTAGTTTGATGATTTACCAGTGGGACCTAGTGGTGATGTTCCATATGTCATACCCATGTTGGAGTATCAGCAGATGGGCCGGGATCTCCCATTTATAGCTGATTTTCCCAGCTATAAACCTCCATTTATAGTGGATTTCCCAGCTAGCCATGCTGCCAGAAAATAGATGAAAATAGATTGAACTTCTGTCGTGATTTTGATCTGATACTTGTTCAAGAGATGTCGCATTTTTTCTACCCAGTGTTTTGAAACTGCACGTGGGCTCGAAAAAAAATATCGCTCCCCATAGGCTATTTATGACACCATCCTCGCTCCTTGGCTCTTCCAAAAGTGGTTGATACTGGACATGGTCTCTTCTTCAATCAGGAGAATGATTTTGATAATCCCTATGACCATCCCTTGCTACGAGTTCATAACTTAACCCAAAAAAATATCGTCGGTTGCTGATACAGCTAGATCAGCTAGTTGATAGCAGGGACTGAAATTGGAAACATAGCCATTTTGGAGAACCTCCTATCTAATCAACTCGGACTAGCCACAAGGATTTGGTCCGATTCATGATGGTTTCCCTGAGGTCAGCGTCTGAAAGTGAGCAATTATACCTGCAATTGCTACAGCGAAGGCAATTATATAAGAAGTGGATGTGGGAGTGCCCTACCTTTTTTCGACATGCCCACGTGTTAATCATCATTTTATTGGACTAGGCTGTTGGCCCGCTCTTCGCCCACTACAGCAACCATTCGCCAGCCCGAAGCTTTCCCGGGTTTCCAATCTGTATATCAACAACACCCAACTTGCTGGGATACAAAGTAATAAGTATTATTTCACCGCAAATTCAAACGATGCCCCAAAAATATCTCCAAAAATGGTGAACTGAACATCCAAAGAACACCAAAATTATATATGTTGGCTACAGGATACTCTCAAAACCACCATTTCAAGGGATGCTGTTCAGATTTGTTCAGTCCCTCAGGGGGCACCTCAGCCACAGCCAGCGGCTTTCGCGCCGTTCTTGGCTCAGCGACTCCGTTTCAACGTCAAGAGCTTCGAGCACAGGTGGGAACTCCTGGAAGCCAGTCATGGAGTGGGCTTCCCAACTCCTGGACCCAGAAAAACAATACGTTCCGACGGTGTTTCCCTGTTTGAAAAATCACCATTTTGGAGGTACCATGGATTTTTTCAGACACTTTTGCTGGTGATTTTGAGGACGGATTGAACCATCCAAAATTGGCGGAGACACCAAACTCCATGTCATCCGAGGGCTCACACACAGAAATTTGATGCAAAACCAGCAATTTATGCAGAACCTTATATACTATGTCACTATGTTTTCTTATAATAGGTTGGAGCCTTAAATGTCATCCATTTTTGAAACATCATTTGAATTGTCTGGGTTTGGGTCAAATTTGGGTACCCAAAAGATGTTTTTTTCACAAAAAATGAACCAAAATTATATCGACCCATTCCCATTTGTATTTGCGGGTTTCCTAAAATATGGGTACCCAAACCATTGGTTTTCCCAGTGCTTTTGTTTTACCAATTTTGGATGATTTTGGGGTACCCAAAATTTAGGAAACCCCCATTTATTACTTTACCCAAATGCTGTCCTTCTCAGCCTCATCGTTTCGCTCATTCCGTGGCGATAAGGCTTCCATCAAGCCCCTTGAGAGCGAGGTAGCGAAACGTGGGACGAAAAAAACAAAATCCCACAAGGGGTCTGCCTTTTTAATGCTGGGTTAAACCATGAGTTTGGGGATACAACTGGGGTATCATGGGATGCATCTATATATATATACATATATATACTAACATATACTAACTATGTGGGATTTGGCCTTAAAAATGCAGGTTGTATTGGCATGCATTGGCGTTCAATCTTCAGAAATGGTGCCTATAACTTATAGCGGTTTAATTGGGGTGAATGCGGATATGGGTCCGAACAGAAATGGGAAATCTTACGAACAAACTGGCATAAAATCAACCATCGTAGCGAATATCTTATGGGGTTTTATTTGGAGAAGCAACACATTCTCAAATGAGTTCCAACCAGTCCAGTTGATAGCGGAATAGTCACCATGGCATCTATCCCAACGGCTATGAGCTGCAGCTGTCATGCACATGCAGGATCATGCAAGTATTAGCACGCTTTGTCAAATGTTGGTTCACAGTTTGTTTCAGAACGATTTCATCTTGTTTTCGCGAAAAACGATGTGATGATATAGGAACAAGCACATTGTCATAATCAGTGATATACCAATGAATGAACTTACTCAGTAATCAATGTTTGTCCAGTGAGCCTTCCTCACTTTACAGGGATTTTTGCTGTGTTTCTCTTCGATTCTCGGAACCACCAGTGCCTGAATCTTTCTCCGGGCCTCTCTTGGACGCGGAAGACTTCCGTCAAATTTCCTGCTATGTCATGGTAACAAACATGGCAGGCTCAAAAAGCGCACTTGTTGAGCAGGAGAATCATATTATATATATATATACGTATACACACACATATCATTTTAAATTGCCAGGCTAGACATGGCATGACATGGCTAGACTATCTATACTCAAGTACAATAGGTCCAGAGTCATGGTTACACCCCGAATACAAGTGGGACAATGGGATAAGTTTGATTGGGAGACCGCTAAAAAACTAGGATGTACATCAAAGTCATTCCAATAGAAACCAGTGGTATGCTTCAGAAAGTCCATACCCTTTGTGAACTTGTGATTCCTCAACTGAGCCGAATTCGTTGCATAATATTGGATGTTCATCTACACCATTCCAGCCAAACAAATGTGAAAATGAAGCTGTGGGATTTACGGCTTTCCAGCAAGAAAGGCCTGGCCCACCAAAACATGTTGCCCTCTGATTAGGCCATAGTTCCAATCAGAAGTGAGACCCCGGCTGTAGGATGTTGAGTCAAGAAAATGTTGGCAACTTTTCCCTGAAACCTAAAAATCTCAAAAATCCCAAAGAAAATGGGACGCTGGAGCATCATCTTCGCTACTTTTACCTGGTCGTGTGGATTCAACCCATGGGTAATTACCGCAGGTCTTGTCAGCAATGATCATCCACTTCGATGGACCAAGCATCAGTTTTAATCAGACAATCAGTACAATCTACACTTGTCCTGGCCTTTCCATGGTGTTCCCAATTCTTCACAGAAATATATATATATATAATTATTATGCATACATATAAATGTAATTATATATAATTATATATTTATATTATGTAATATATATATAATGTAATATATATATATATATAATATATATATATATTGTTATTATGTAATATATTATATATAGTGTAATATATATATATATATTATGTAATATATATATATATTACATAATATATATATTAAAAAATATTACATTATATATATTACATAATATATATGTATATTGTGTAATATATATATATATATATATATATTATGTAATAAATATATATATTATGATATATATATAGATTATGTAATATATATATATATATTATGTAATCTATATGTATATTATAATATATATATATTATTATATATAATGTAATTAATATATATATATATATTATGTAATATATGTATTATGTAATATATATATATATATATTATGTAGTATATATATATATATTATGTAATATATATAATGTAATATATATATATATTATGTAAGATATATATATATTATGTAATATATATATACATATGCATATCGTACATTACATGTGTATATATATATATACATACATTCACTTTTAGCAATATCCATTGATTCTCTCCACTTCCAAATATTGTTTTTGAGGGGCCCAAAGCGTCCAGATTTTTCGTCGGCAGAGACGACCTGAATAGATGGCTTGATTCAACTTTTCCGAGGATGGACAGAAGCGTCCGGACCTGGACAAAGGATTCGATGGTGATGCGATGTGCTGGGGACATCAAGCAGTAATTTACTAAAGAGTTGTCCACTGAACCAACTCTGTCCCCAACTTCACAACACACAATGAGACTTCACCAGCAAAATATGAGCAGATCACCAGCAAAACACTTGGAGGTGTCCATGTTTCCTAAGTCATGGGGGTACCCCCGAATCATCCAAGTCATGAATGACCATGACTTAGTATTGAAACCTATGTTGACTTGGGGATTTCCATGACTTAAGAAACCCCCACAGGACCGAGATTGGGGGTTGGCCTTCTGTCAAATCTAGACTGGTTGATTCATAAGGCTTCCCATGGTGGATTATGATACTCTGGCTGCGAAATCCTGCAAAACCTGGGGTTGAAAGCCTGGGATCAGCCACCAACTGGTGCAGAAATTGGCAACCATCCACGAATTTTTCCCCAGAAACCCGGTACTAAAACCCCAAAGAAGACGATTCTGATTTAAACTCTCAGATGTGTTGGTACCCTCTGGTCATGAAAACCATAGCCATGCAAAATGGCTCCTCTAGTTCGCTGACTTACCTATCATTTTAATGGCGAGGTTCCATAGAAAACTGGTCAATTACTACGTAGAGAGTATATCCCAATAAGATCCATTGAGTGGATTATAAGATATCATGACCCTATCAAATTCCAATGTTCATGGATTCTAATCCCCATTTCTAGATGATCCTTCCATATGTTGAAAAATGATTTTCCATTATGAGCACATCCCCCATTAAAATGGTTGAATCACTGCCGCCCCCACCTAGCACTGACCATGTTCACCATGCTGCTGGACTCCTCGTGGACATCTCGGACAGTCGGGGGCCCTGTTTTTGCCGCAAAATCATAGGCATGTGTGAAGCGCGTACGCGACCCGATAAGACTAGTGAAGTATCAACCATATGTGCTTTTTGGCCGCAAAATGATGGGTTTTGTTGTAAATTACTGTGGCTCCGACTCAACTCAAGGCCTATTTTGTGGACATTCAACAAGCATCAAGGGTTTGTTGTCCATGTTTGGGTCCAGACTTCCCAGAAAATCTCGCCATTCCATTAACAAAGTGGATGATCTTATGATCTGTTGATGATCTAAACTTCAATCCTGTTCCCCTTGGGCTGTTTTGGATGCTTCCTCCAATATTGACATGGGGGGTTCGAGCCCGAGTCATGGTGATGTCCGCGATGATCCGATCCGATCCGTTGGCTGGTCACAAAGAGTCTTCGTTGACCGACTGTTTGTTCAAATACCCTCCGGTAAACAAACATGGCAATTGGAAATACTGTATAAAGTGGCAGTTTAAATTGGGAAATCATCTTGAAATTTTACACCGCCATGATTGTTTTTTTTAGAGGGTGATCAGAAATCATCAAATGTTGCGTCAGATGAAAAGTGTCGAAACCCAATTTTTTTCCACCCAAGAAGTCCCAGCTGAGTTGATCAGCCAGGTCCATCACAGGGTTAGTCTCCTCTGGGTTCGACAGTACCTTTCTTGGAGCATCCTTGGCAGCACACCCACCCCAAAAACCCCGTGGATTGTGTGAAGCAACCTGGACCACCCAACTACCTGATATCCAAAATCAGTTTTTCAAATTGTTCTTTGGGATCCAAACTCATGCGTTTAGTCAGTCCTGACAAGACCTTCACAAACAATAGTGGGTCATGCTCCCACATTTCAACGCTTGAAGAAATAATGATGTTCTGCTTTACAATCATCGGAAGCATCGACACATCTTGACACCCAAATCTTTCCTGTTTGAATAATTTTGAATACGTATAGCCCCACTTACGCAGATCACATAGATCACATATAACTGATATTTTGACCAATTCTCCCAGGAATCGACGCCCAGGGACAACAAGGTCACTGTTGGAAGAAATGCGTTTGGTCAGTGGGAACGCCCGTTCTGGGGCCTCGGTGACACCGCCAAAGGGGCGGCCTAGGCATTGTTTTTTGTGGGTACTAACCACATGAAATAAGCCACATACATGTGTATACATGGACCTCCAGTTATATGTGGGTCACTTTTTTTTCTGCCTAGCCTACAAACCACTAAACAAATGCACGTCCAAGGCATGCTAAAGTAGATAGCAAACCCTCAAATTCTCGTTTTAATATGTTCAGTAGAAGCCTTCCAGGATGGGCAGTGGAAGGGAAATCATACAGCACATCATCCACTTGGTGCTTCCACCCATTCAAGAAATATGACACTGACAGTAAATTTCTTGATCATCCAATCCCAATATATTCGGAATACAACTCAATAAATAGATGAAGTGCTGGAAGCGCCAATGACCCATCTGCTGTCCTTGGAACATCCCACGAATCGAAACGGAACATCATTCAGGCAGCTTCACAAGGTTTCCAGTTATCCCATCTAGGGAACGAGGTGAAGAATCCCACATCTGCCAAGCATCTAGGACCACAGGCTCAAAGGCAGGCCTGTTGATTCGGCTGGTTTCTCCAAAAAATTGGGGGGAGAAAAAGAACAAAATCCAGTGATTGAAAGGAAACGAACGCAGTTCCCCACCAAAAGAGTGTTTTTTTTGCATAGTTTTGGGATGTTTTGTGTGATCCAAAAGTGGAACGTCATTGCGACATCCCTATGGATTTCCGCAAATTTTCCATCACTGCAATTTTGGGGTCCCAGGTGTGGGCGAGTGTGGGTTCGAAAGTTGGGATTTAACTCCCAATAAAGATTCAAGTATATTTAGGAATTTAGGGTTCTCAGTGCTGAAGTCCATGTTATGGTGAGAATGGAGGTACGCTGGGTTCATGTGATCAATATACTGTATTATATGTATATATATATACATAATATATATATATATGAGATAGGCTCCCAACACCCCAAATACAATGGGAATATCAACAAAAAATGGAAAAACATCATAGAAGGTACAAAATCAAATGGGTATACGGGCATGTCCAAACATAGAGCTCCTGAGGTTTAATTGCGGTGATTTCAATTAGGAATCTAATGATAAACCGTGGGATGGAATGGGGGACCTTGATTTAGGGTCAAAACCATGAGGTCTTGGGGTCAAAAATCATGATGCCCTGATCACATCCGAGAATACCTTTGCGAGAACGAAGAAGTTGTCCGGATGTGTTCCATGAATTGTTAGCAGTTGTTTACACATTCCATGGTCAAAAATTGTATATGAGGTATGGTCATCTGTCTCATGTTGGGATTTTTTCCAATGTTCAAATCCCTCTGAACATGGATTGATCACCAACAAGAGCACTTCAAGATATTCAAGTTTGGACCATGGCACAGCCAAGTGAGCCAAGTGGTTTTTTGGCCACTAAGCCATCAACGTTGCACCCGCCATGCTGCCAAGCAACGCTCCGGGTGCCGCAGGTGCCGCAGGTGCCGCAGGTGCCGCGGGCGCCGGGGGTTCCGGCTGGGCCAGGCAGACCGTCGACGCTTTTCTGTTTTTGGTGCGGGGTTTCTTCGCAGAACCCGGAGCGCTGTGGCCACCTACCAAGAGATTTGGCGTCGGGGGAGAAAAGCCTGGACTCTGGATCTGTCTGAAAATTGTTTGGCGGAAAAAAACATTCACTCCAATGGCGAATCAGCATGTTCCCTACCGGTATATGTTAAAATAAATAATATATATATATATGGTTGTTGATCAAAATTCCTTTATCCCGGAACGGCCGTTCTTCGCGAATAAAAAATTTACTTTCGCGAAACTTTCACGAACTCCATGTTTATCTTTCGCGGGGCCCATGTTGGCCAACAACACCTCTTATGAAGATTCGTTCACCACCTGCCAAATTACGCCAGAGAATCACGGATCACTTCTTGGTAGCCTTTTAAACATGCAGCTAGCATCACGGAATCCCTTCTTAGGACAGACTTTTTTTGCAAAGTTTGCTGGCCCACCCCCTTCAACATGCACTTTGACTTTCGCCCGCTCTTTCGCATAACTTTCGCGGAACTTTCGCGAAAATATCCCTATTCACAGACCCCGGCCATCAGCAGGGGGTGCACTGAAGGAAAAGCGAAGACCAGGGGCCTTGGTGTTTGGCTCTCGCAAAGCCTCACTTTTGGAAACTTGACTACTGCTACTCGCATTTTCTGGTGCCCTTCTCCTGCCGGACCCCGGGCGGCAGTGGGTGGCAGCCCTTTACATAATGATTATAATACCCAACTTTCGCGAAATAAAATTTTACTTTCGCGAACTTGAAAAAAAACTTTCGCGAGGGTTTCCAACATAACATGCACGGCTTTCGCAATTAAAACTCCTTATCGATCACCATATATATTTGGGTGGCTACGTCAACTCCCATACTTGGCTCTTGTCAGGATGATCCTACAGTATGCCCCCAATTGTCTAAGAAAAACAACAGAAATGCGAAATCTGAAGATCACATGTGGAAGTCAAAGAATCCAAGTGTGGGGCCAATGATCTTCGACTTCAGGACACAATGAGGGTTTTTTTCATGAGTCCACAAGATAGCTTCATGGTTGAAAACATGATTGAACACAAAAAACAAGCGTGAGGCCTGGATACCACGCGTCGAAATGTCAAAAAATCACCCACAGTATAAAAACTTCCCGCAATATAAAAAGTTGCCATCGGGGCACGTCGTTTTGGCATGTCGACCGGCGCACTTACGTCGTTTTGGCATGTTGACGGGCACACTTACTATTCTTCTTGTTTTGGCATCGCGGGGCGTCGTTTTGACATGTCGGCGGACACAATTTCTTGGCATGTCGGCGGACACCATCGTTTTGGCATGTCGGCGGACACTCTTTTGGCATGTCAACGGAGACAATCTTGTTTGGCATGTCGACGGGAACAACCCGCTTGGCATGTCGACGGTCGTTTTCGCATGTTGACGCGTCATATCCCGATGAGCCTTATTAGGAGATTCTTCTTGAATCTTGGGAGATTCCCTCGGTACCCAGGATTGCGAGCAGAGCTGAAAAGCTGAAAACGTGCCACTTAGTACAACAAGAGATCACATTGTCTGAGATTTGTACGTATGGAAAATTGAAGACAAACGGATCTCACAACTAATTAATCCTCAGGCTACCTCCAAAAGGTGAATTTCTGAATGCCAGCAATTTCCATCAATTTCCAACAACCAGCAGACCACCAGTGAGGTCAGGTTTCACATGGTTGAACATCCGATCCCCGCCTAAATACGCTGGGATCATTTGGCCAATGTCCATCCTGCGCATAGAAATCCAGTTATGCTGATCTGGCTAATTTTTGCCCGGAAATCCATTGGATAATCATCATTGTCCCTAGTGAATTTTTGTGTTTTTTGGGATATGCCCCATTTTCAGACCCAAATTGCAATATTTATTCACCAACCTAAGGCCATCTAGAGATATTGAACCATGACCTCCAGTGACATCGACAAGTAGTATCAAGTAGCCATCAAATTGTGGCCGTCTTCTCAGACAAACCCAAACGTGCCATGGTCGTCCATCCCATTTCGGAATCCAAAGATTTCATTGGGTTTATCCCCCAAGATCAATGGATCAATGACCATCAATGGATTAAATAATGGCTTTATGAATCCAAACATAATGGGTTTATAATATACCATATCTATATCCATAAAGTTTATAAATCCCTACCAATGGATTGATGACCATCCCCCTATTAAAGAGCACTTCATCCAATGAAACCCAACACAAGCACTTGACCTGCAAAACTGCAAAAGCATCCAATGTGGGTTGCTGCTCGGAATTTCCCATCCTTCTCCAACCAAACCACCCTGCTCTGTTTCACATCAAGCTACAAAAATGCAGTCGTCACAACTTTTCGGTATGTCTAAAACCCAGCCCAAGCGTCAGCCGCGAAAATAGAGAATCCATCTACCCTCTGGTCATTTAACAGAATCTAACAGTAGCTTTGGAAAATGGCCCGTCTGTAGATTATATACCTTATGCTTATGCCCGTCTTGGGTCCAAAAGCTGCCGCACTGGTGAACCGAAGTGCCTTGTTTTTTAATGCTATCTTGGGTCCAAAAGCTGCCGCACTGGTGAACCGAAGTGCCTTGTTTTTTAATGCTATTCCAAGCATGGATTGCAATGATCCCTTAAAAGATTAAAGCTTCGTAGAACCCCAATAAATCCACAAATATGAACAATAAAACCAATCGGATTTTGACACTGCCTATCTCTTGTTGGCTACACGCTGACAAAAAAACAATCAAACATGATCCAAGCACTACACCTACTACAATACCATTTCTGGCGGGGTGGGGGGCACAAAATCTGTTCTGCGTCCCTCGAAAAAACTCTCTGTCGTCATGGCTAAACTTAGATACTCTCCATTGACTTACCCTGTCCCGTCGGCATACCGTGCACCAGTGGCCATTATATGCTATTATATCCTAGAATTTCATGGTTGAGAAATCCACACCTTTGTTGGTAAAGTTCCAAAGTTCAATTCCAAACCACCAACCAGTATATTTATATAGCCACGGAAAATTACCATTTTTTATAGGTAAACCATCTATTTCCATGGGCCATTTATACCATGGCTATGCTGAAACCTCACCGAGTTTTACCCGATAAACTCACCGAGAAACTCGATCGCTTCTTTGGCCGGCGCACCCAGCTTTCGAGCAAGCTGCGCGTCGGTTTTTAGCGCTGGAACCGGTCTTTTGGGCTTGAAAGCATCGAAAAAACCAGCCCTGCTTGGATCTGCATCCTAGCTAGTGGGTATAACATGGTATAACCATATTACAAGCTAGTCATATGTGGGATATACATGGAGATACCCCGGTCAGTTTCACATGGGTTAAAAAAAGAACCTACCAGTTGGGATGCACACCCAAGTGGGCAACGACAATATCTAATTGTGTTTGGCGACTTGCCTGAAAGGCGTAAAGTGGGGTTCCACTGGCATTGAATGGACGCACAAAAAGGCTACTCGGCTATTCATCAGTACGACCTTGAAACCATCCTTGTGGAGTTGACCATTTTCAGCCCCTATTTCACCGAGCTAAAGTATCAAATGTTGGTGCTGTTCCTGCATCAATCACCATTTCTGGTGTGAAACTGCGGCACATGGCCATGTGATATGAGGTATCTCCAGCGAGTTTGATGAACAACTTTGTTTCTGGGGATTGGAAACCCAATGAGAAAGCGACCGACAGCAAAATGCTGTCTCAAACTACCAGTGATTTCTCGGCCGAACAGCAGCCATAGTGGAACTATAGATGCGGAACTATGGAACTAGTGATGGACAAACCGTGGCTGCCATACCCAGTAGTCACGGCCGATTGCCCTTCAAAAAAATGAAGTTGTTACTTCATTAGGTTCATATACTCCCGTCACAATAGCAAAAACCAAAGACGGATAAACACTGTGGATTGACAGTTGGACTCCCCAGTCATTGAATGGTTAACTGTCATATCATGTAAATATACAGATAATATACCTATCTATTTTGGGGTGAATATGGTCCCATTTAGTGATGAAGAATACCCCATCGAATGATGGGCAAAAAATCAATGCCCATCCAGCTCACCGTTTGGTCTGCCCAACTCTCCCATTCCGCATTCCTTCTCTGACTACATCCTCGTGTTTCTTGATTCTTAGGGGTATTCCCAAAGAGTGCTACCTGGGTGTGCATTCCAAGTAAGAAGTGGTTCATGACTACATAGACATCCTATAACTGGGGTATATTTGTATATCCAGCTAATCCAATTGGCTTCTAATAAACATCCCTGTGGAACTACCCCGCAACACCCCGCAACCATTTGAGCAGTGTTTATGTAAATCCCTCAGTCATTCCATTGTACTGCTTGGTTGATAGGGGTTCGTATCATGGATGATGATCATCCCCACTATATCAGATAGAAGAAAAGCCCCTAGCATCATGAACCATAATTCATCAGTTCTCTAAGCATATTGCGCTCTACAAAAACACAAAAACACAAAAACATAATTGTTAAATCCCTATAACCCTCCAAGAAGTCAACAGTTTGCTGTGGAAACCATGGCCCGTTCCGGTCGACGACTTAACCTTCTTAGAACCTAGAGGATTTTCCACAAATAGAACTTGTCAGAAGCTATGACCATGGCGAAAAAAACAAATATATATATATATATCACTTGTATATCACCTAATAATTGTTGATCCTTAAACACCCTAAATGATGATTGGATCCCCATGAAACTCAGGGCTTGCACGTAGCCATCATAGCCAGTGCTCGGTTTCCCACCTGACTGGAAGTCCCAGACAATTCCATGGAATGCTCTGACGGGCGCCGACCTGCCACAAAAAATCGCAGTGGCAGTGCTTGGTCTGGGCACTTAGGGAACCTCAAAAATGTGCGGGTCAACTTTTGATCAGACCAAACACATATTGGATTGGTTTAAGGGAATTTGACAGCAACCCCCTATATTGGATGGTAAAACCATGGTTTCCGATTTCGATTTTCCCTTCAACCAATCCATATTGGTGAAATTGTCTCATGGGTATGGCTCAAAACCTATCATTCTCTACTTTTGCAGGACGAACATCTATTCATCCCAGCTATTTTGCTGCGAACAGAAGGGGACAACCAACCTTTCAGCACCGACTTGGCCCGGGATGAAGACATGTCATTGCCACCTGATCAACTAAATCCAACAGCCACAGTCTGAGATTTTCACAGAGATACTACGATCGGGTGAGTGTTATATAACAGAATGGGGATACCCCAATAGCTGGATGGTTTATTTCATGGAAAATCCCATTAAAATGGATGAGGACTGCAGTACCCCCATTTCAGGAAATGCCCAGTGGGTTGTTTTTTTGCCAAGTGACATTTTGGCATGCCAAGTGCACTTGGCAAAAGTCAAGTCCATTTCGGATTGCGTGTATGAAATAATTCTTTGCGGTGTACTTGGGTTTCTCTGAAAACAGAGTACCCTCTGGTAAACATACAAAAAACTATGGAAAATCACCTTTTTCAATGGGTAAATCCACTATTTCTATGGTCATTTTCAATAGGAGGGTACCCCAAATCACGCCGTTGATCATGTTATCCCCCATTTTTAGGATTGGGGGATGAAAACCGATGGAATTTTTTCAGCGTCGGTTTTCACCTAGTCTTTCTGGACAACACACACCAGTCGTCATTCCCAAAGCCAAACAAATCATTTTGGGATGAGTCCCCCTGCATCAAATATCTGGCTGAATTATAGTCCCAATATTTTCTTGTGGCCAGCGCGGCAAGCGCTGCGGACGCGACATGCGGACTAGATGGCTGGCGGTTGATCATGCAATACCAGTTGGGTGTGCTTGAAAATGGGGATATCCATAGAATGGCACTTTATTTGTGGATTTTTGGGTGTTGAATAGTGTTAAACCATGTTAAGCAATGTGAAACCGTTGGATTTAGGACGGAGCCAAGTTTTTCAGACGCCACGGACAGTAGTTTAGAGCCATCCCCATCATCCGTAGACTACGTCTGACTGCAAGGTACTTGAAATATATCTGGTTGGTGGTTTCAACCCCTCTGAAAAATATGAAAGTCAGTTGGGATCATTATTCCCAATCTATGGAAAAATAAAAAATGTCCCAAACCACCAACCAGATACTGTAGGCCAGCCAGAACAAGACTCCCAGGCAGCATCTAGGTGGGGTACACTTGGTACAGTTGGTACTGAAAAATGGGATAAAATGGGCAATTACACCTAGCAAAAAAAAACAGTTTTATGTCTATATAAAGCATCAAAATCAAAATGCTCAGTGGTCCCAATTTCTCCGCCTTTGGACCACTGCACACACGATTGATCGGTGGCAAGCCTGCGCGAGGTGAACACCCACTTTTCTGGGATATACATGATTTGGTCCATGTATAGATGATTTACCTATTGAAAATCATGTTTGCCTTTAAAGGACCAGAGGATACGAACCCGCCAACATTTTCCGACCAAAAGCCCGGCTTGATGTTGAGTTGTGACCCATGCTGAGGAAAGCAACCAAGACTAAGTTGCCTGTCAAACCTGCAGTGATCTGTGAAGTCAACGGTTTATCATGCCTAACCTGAGTACCCTCCGGTACTTAACGTGGCAATTGAAAGCCCCCCTTTCCCCATCTAAACCTCCATTTTTAAACCTCCATTTATATATATATACCCATTTATAGGGGATTGTCCATTGCCATGTTTGATTACCAGGGGGTATATCCCATGAAACATCCCAGTTTATAAATGGGTGCTGAGCCCCACTTGCTGACCACATAGCTAATGCCAGGAAACTAGCACAAATTCCACTGGAAACGGAACTCGTGGTCAAGTCAAGTTCTATTGTTGTTGTTGGGATTTGTGTATGGATATGTGTACAACACATACAGCTATGTGTGCAAAGAAATATGTTTCGAGAATAAATATGTGTATCTGTGCATGTATGCATGTATAAGCAGTGCCATGCCGTCTCCTGGCTGGATTCCCACCATGGATCAGGATCCCAAATATCTGCAGTGTAAAGCCGGGGGTGCATCCCAGGATCGTAAATGGAGAATAACCGTATGAAATAATTACCCCAGTTATATATACATATATATATATATATGCACGAATATATACATGGGTAAAGAACCATATATTTCACTATCCTCAACCTTGCGGCCATTTGGAGATAATACAATTACTAACCATCATTCTAGTGAGGTCGCAGTGAGGTCGTTATAATTTACCCATATATATATATGTATATGTGTGTATACATACATATATATATATATACATACATACATAACATTACATTACATTTCATTTCATTTCATTACATACATACATACATTACATACATTACATACATTACATACATTACATACATTACATACATACATACATACATTACATACATTACATACATTACATACATATACATACATATACATACATATACATACATACACATACATACACATACATACACATACATATACACATACACACACATACATACACATACAAACACATACATACACATACATACACATACATACACATACGTACGTACGTACCTACATACATACATGCATACATACATACATATACATACATATACATACATATACATACATATACATACATATACATACATATACATACATATACATACATATACAGACATATACATACATATACATACATATACATACATATACATACATATACATACATATACATACATATACATACATATACATACATATACATACATATACATACATATACATATACATACTATACATACATATACATATACAATATACATATAGCATTTCACTCATATACTCATTTGGACATGCAATACATGCGCGACTATACATAACATACATATACATACATACATGCATACATACATACATATACATACATATACATACATATACATACATATACATACATATACATACATATACATACATATACATACATATACAGACATATACATACATATACATACATATACATACATATACATACATATACATACATATACATACATATACATACATATACATACATATACATACATATACATACATATACATATACATACTATACATACATATACATACATACACATACATACACATACATACACATACATACACATACATACACATACATACACATACATACACATACATACACATACATACACCTACAGTACTAACTGTACCTCCAATACATACCTCGCATACATACGCTACTTACATACATAGCATACTACAAGAAGCACATACATACGCATACATACCATGACGGTACGTGTGACAGACTACATACATACACATACATATACATACATATACATACATACATTACATTACATTACATTACATTACATTACATTCATACATACATACATACATACACATATACATGTACATGTACATATACATACATATACATGCATACATATACATATACATACATATACATACATATACATACATATACATACATATACATACATACATTACATACATTACATACATTACATACATTACATACATTACTCAATTTACAATACGTTTACGCGATACATTACGAAGTACATTACATACATATACATACATCTAGAGCTCACAGACCCATACAATACACATACATACATGACTAACATACAACTGTGGGCATTTATAATATGTGTATATATATAGTCTAAATAGTTAAAACTCCTGTGTTATGTATATATATGTGTGTGGTGTGTCATGTATTGGAGTATGTATAGGTTATAACCACAGATCCGGAAATTGGTCCATCAGTTTTCATCGACCAAGACGGGTTTTCCACCCAAAAAAAGGCCTCGCCTGGGGTTGCATGCAGGCCTCCTCCCAGTCCCGCCGCAGCTAATCGAACGGAATGGTCAGGACCAGCTCGATACTTGTTGTCATACTCACTATACAGTATTTACACAGCAAAGCGCAAACAAGATTAGAACATAGGTACCGGTTTATTGTGATAGGATGTTTTGTTCTACTATCTTTTGGGGTTGTTTTTGTGCCTGTGTGTGTGTTGCGTGGCGAGTGTCTATGTATATAATTATCGTTGGCGAAATCGGGATTATTACTACTACTATCATTATCCGCCGACCAAGCTTGCAGCAGGCAGAGAGCGTCAGAGGAGAAATTGCAAGCAGCAAGGAGCAAGAAGTGAGGAACAGCAAGGAGCAAGAAGCAAGAAGTGAGGAATACAAGCAGCTATACAAGCAGTTAGGCGCTCTGGGCCGCCGCCAACGTTTTGGAGGCTTGACCGCTGCAATTTGGAACTAGCTTCTTGTTGGTTCAGAAGGCAATGTTAGGCACAGGCAGCCGCAGGCAGAAGCTAGTTTCTTGTCGGTTCAGAAAGCTCCGTGACATGGTGCTTCGCTGTGGCGAAGCCAGGGCTTTGGAGGCCTGGCAGGTGCAATTTGGAGCCAGGTTCTCGTTGATTCAGAAAGCGACGTTAGGCACAAGCAGCGGCAGGTGGAGCTCACAATCCGTCCTTCAGTGCCACGCTGTTTCGGTGTGGCGAGAGGTCCGTTTTGGAGGCCTGAGAGGTACAATTTGAAGCTAGTTTCACGTCGATTCAGAAAGCGACGTTAGACACCAGCAGCGGCAGGCCGAGGTCACAATCCGTCCTTCAGTGCCATGTTGTTTCGGTGTGGCGAGGTGTCCGTTTTGGAGGCCTGAGAGTTGCAATTTGGAGCTAGTTTCAATTCGATTCAGAAAGCGACGCTGGGCACCAGCAGCGGCAGGCGGAGGTCACAATCCGCCATTCACTGCATGCTGTTTCGTGGCGAGGGGGTCCGTTTTGGAGGCCTTCAGTACCATGCTGTTTCGGTGCCGGGAGGGGTCCGTTTTGGAGGCTTGACAGGTGCAATTGTTAGAGCTAGTTTCTAATCGATTGAGAAAGCTATGTTAGGCACCAGCAGCGGCAGGTGGAGGTCACAATCCGTCCTTCAGTGCCATGTTGCTTCGGTGTGGCGAGAGGTCCGTTTTGGAGGCCTGAGAGGTGCAATTTGGAGCTATAGCTTCAGGTCGATTCAGAAAGCGACGTTAGACACCAGCAGCGGCAGGCCGAGGTCACAATCGGTCCTTCAGTGCCATGCTGTTTCGGTGTGGCAAGGGGTTCGTTTTGGAGGCCTGAGAGGTGCAATTTGGAGCTAATTTCTAATGATTCTAATCGATTCAGAAAGCAGCGTTAGCCACCAGCAGCGGCAGGCCGAGGTCACAGTGCCATGCTGTTTTGATGTGGCGAAAGGTCTGTTTTGGAGGCAATTTGGAGCTAGCTTCTAATCCATTCAGAGAGCGACGTTAGGCACCAGCAGCGGCAGGCCGAGGTCACAATCCGTCCTTCAGTGCCATGTTGTTTCGGTGTGGCGAGAAGTCCGTTTTGGAGGCCTGAGAGGTGCAATTTGGAGCTATAGCTTCAGGTCGATTCAGAAAGCGACGTTAGACACCAGCAGCGGCAGGCCGAGGTCACAATCCGTCCTTCATTGCCATGCTGTTTCGGTGTGGCGAGGGGTCCGTTTTGGAGGCCTGAGAGGTGCAATTTGGAGCTAGCTTCTAATCCATTCAGAGAGCGACGTTAGGCACAAGCAGCTATCCCTATCTGCTCTCATAGCGACTTGCCCAACTGTCGGCAGCGGAGGGCGTAGCCCTTTAACAATTGTTATTGTTATTGCTACTTCTATTGTTACTGGTATTGTATTTTTCCCCACCTGTCAAGTGAGGGCTGTTAGACTTTATGTCAGCTGTCCCGCCGCCTTCTCCTCCACCTCCTCCGCCTCCTCCGCCGGACTTGAACAGCAAGCTCAGGAGCAGAGTGATCCCTGCCGAACCTCAACTGCAAGGGCTAGATCGCAGTGTTCCCCGCCGCACACAAACAGCAAGCTCAGGATCAGAGTGTTCCCCGCCGGACCTCAAGTGCAAGCGCTAGATTGCAGTGTTCCCCGCCGGACTCGAACAGCAAGTTCAGGATCAGGTTGCTAGATCGCAGTGTTCCCCGCCGGGCCCGAACAGCAAGCAGAGGATCAGAGTGTTCCCCGCCGGACCTCAACCACAAAGAATCTCCGAAGATATACCAGATAGAATGCCAAAAAGAATGTCAGAATATATGCCAGAAAGTCTGTCAGAATAGATGCCAGATAGACTGTCAGAAAGAATGTCACAATATCTGCCAGAAAGAATGTCAGATAGAATGTCAGAATAAATATGCCATATACACTTCCAGATGGTATGCCAGAAACTATGTCAGAATAGTTTTTCAAGGTGGGGATCACTCGAAGAAAGATTACTATACAATTACAATACATACAATCATTTTGGAGTAGATTCAGTGCCTCCTGGTTCTAAATTCAAACTTGTTCTCCTAGTGAATATGGTCCGATCTGATATTCTACATTCTTCTCGTTCTTCTCCCTTCAGAATGGAAAATCATGACACAAATCCCAGAAGCTTCCAATGAATCAGACGTTTTTCCCCAGGTGAGGGTTGTTAGATTTTATGTCAGCTGGCCCGCCTTCCTCCTTCTCCTTCTCCTCCTTCCTCCTCCTCCGCCAGACCTCAACTGCAAGCTCTAGATCGCAGTGTTCCCCGCCGGACCCCAACAGCAACCTCTGGATCAAAATGTTCCCCGCCGGATCTCCACCGCAAGCTCAAAATGTTCCGCGCCAGAGTGTTCCCCGCCGGACCTCAACCACAAAGAACCTCCGAAGATATACCAGATAGAATGTCAGAAAACATGTGAGATAAAATGTGAATGCCAGATAGTATGTCAAAAAACATGTCACTTGGTGGGGACCACTCGAAGAAAGTAATTTTAGCCTGGTGCATTTTCGATCACCCTGCCAGGTCCGATCCGGTGACAGGAATGGGGCAAGGATTGAGGCCCGCAAAACCGCCTATTTTCGGTTCATTGGTCATTTCAAGATGTATTAACAATCCAATCTTAGGGGTATTTTCATATATATATATATATACCCATACCCCCATATGGTGCCCAGAGGGCATGACATGCCACATACAATTCATATCATATTCACATATGAATGAAACTACACGAAACTGTCAGATGAACTAGACATTACTCAGCTTTGGGATGTTCCAGAGCCACCCAATTCCCCGCAGAGCGGTCAATGCAAATTTGGGAATTTCACAACACCTTGGCCTTTTCCGAAAAAATGCATCTCAGCCATATTAAAATAAATCTGGAAAGCTCATTGGTTCTTTATCACTGACAGTTCCCAGGACGAACCTTTTTTGCTGGGCCAAACCCAAACCTCAGAGGCTCAGGCCCCACCTGCAGTTCACTGGTCACTTTTTCTTCCAACTTCTCCAGTTTCTGCATCAGCCCATCGTTGGATTGTCTTATTTCCGCGAGCACCTGCTATGACCATCGAGCAAAAACAGGGCTGGTGTAAACCGAAAAACAAAGTGATGGAGGGCCAGCGTCAGTCCAAGGGAACCTGCCCTTCACATGTGGACTTGAATGGAACAATTCCTTCATTTTAAGTATACCTACATCCCTTATAAAATGTCTATATGTTTCTGTAAATATGTATGTATATATATACATATAATATGTGTACATTTGTATATATATATAGTTATTATTATATATATGTTATATTAAAGATATATATATATATTATTATATTATATTAGATTAGATTATATTATATTACATTACATTACATTATATTATATTTTACTATATCATATTATATTATAATATATTATATTATATTAAATTATAGTATATTAAATTGTAGTATATCATATAATATTATATTATAATATATCTTATTATATTATATTAAATTATATTATATTATATTGTATTTTATTATATATATTTTTGTTGATATATATATATTATGTTCAATAAAATATAATACATATATATATATAAATATATTATGCTACATGCATAAATATATATATATATAAAGGTCAGATGGGAATAAGTGGAGATTTTTTTACTCCATACGTTGAGCAAATGACATGAGCATGGTTTTGACCCGAAACATGTGCAGGCACATGACTTGAGAGTAGTCGACAAACCGAATTTTTATGTGTGCCGCCATTTTTGGGCCTTGTTAGCAGATGACATGAGACAATGTGACATTTTTGGTCGCTGACCAAGTCATGTGTTCAAGCATCACTGCCAAACAAGGGTGAAGCCAAGAAAAAAACAAGATGCAGCCCACAAACCCGAATGCTCACACGTATGTTAATGGCACAGATGTCGAAACACATGGATATGCAGTCACGCAGAACACTTTTCTGCAATAGTTTATTTGAACACTCTTGTACATATTTCCCCTGTTACCATTCTGCAGTGTGGAGTGGAAAGTGTGGAGTGTGGAGTGTGGAGTGTAAAGTAAGGAGTGTGGAGTGTAAAGTGTGGAGTGGGGAGTGTGGAGTGTGTAAAGTGTAGGGTGTGAAGTGTGGAGTGGAAAGTGTAGAGTGGAAAGGGTAGAGTGTGGAGTGTGGAGTGTAAAGTAAGGAGTGTGGAGTGTAAAGTGTGGAGTGGGGAGTGTGGGGTGTGTAAAGTGTAGGGTGTGAAGTGTGGAGTGGAAAGTGTAGAGTGGAAAGTGTAGAGTGTGGAGTGTGTGGAGTGTGGAGTGTGTGGAGTGAGGAGTGTGGAGTGTAAAGTGTGGAGTGTGGAGTGTGCAGTGGGTAAAGTGTAGAGTGTGGAGTGTAGAGTGTAGAGGGTGGAGTGAGGAGTGTAAAGTGTGGAGTGTGCAGTGGGTAAAATGTAGTGTGGGGAGTGTGCTTGCCACGCAAAATGACGACAGAGATCTCCGAAGTGTTGCTCAACAAAAACTTTCGAAAAGGAAAGGTTTTGCAGCTTCCCCCATAGACACGGCGAGGTGACAGGAAAGCCAGAGACTCGAGTCGAGACAAAACGAGCATTTCGTGCGAGACTTCCGCTAATTTTGACACGTTGCAGCTTCAAAATCGACGTTTTCCTATGGGTTTTCTTAGGAACCTCTTTCAGCATATCTCACAAAATGCCACGCCTGCCACGGAATCTGCACCTTGTCGCCACTTGACGCAGCCCTGCCATTGCGATTCGCAAAAAACACGCAACACGACACGTCTGGATGGACATGTCCAAAGTGCTGCGCCTGCCTTGAAAACTGCAACGCATCTTCTGAAAACGTCGTAAAGGTATTGCGCCTGCCACACAAAACGATTTTCGACACGTTACAAAACACGTCTGAATGTCACGAAGTGCCACGCCTGCCACACGAAACGAAGCAACACCACATATGAAACCTCCAAAAACGACCCCTTCTGCAGAACTTACCATAGGCACGGCCATATGGCCATCAC